CCTGTAGGTGACTAGCGATTTATCGCCCAGCTATTATGTGAGAGTAGAATTGAGCATGATTGTATTACACCCATTATTGTCATATAGACCTGTTTGTTTGGTTCCGACTCTTATGCAGTATGTTGTCGTATAGGTCATTGTGGTGACTCCGACTAGAGTGACTTTGAGCTATGAATTCAGCCGTACAGACTACCATAGGGGTTCCGGCTAACATGTTATATTTCTATGAAATTATTCTTACCTGAATTGCTTACTCTGTTATATCTTGGCATGGCATACATATGAATATGATTATGTGAAGCATGAATTGAATTGATATGATTCTTCGTATATTTATATATATGTGCCTATATCTTGATTCTGGGAAAAATTATACATGTTTTACAGTGAGGGGTTAGTTATGTTGATAAATGAAATGATTTTGTAAAACATTTGTTTTTGCCCACTCACGTTTTCTGTTTTGCGCCCCTCCATGTTTTAAGTAAGTTTGTTGTTGGTGGCTTGAGGACGTCGGCAGTTCTGATCGATCTGAATAATAGTAGGACATTCCTGGTACTGTATAACTAGTACTTGTCCTACTGGACTGCACCTAGACTTATTATGCTCTGATTAGGAGTATTTACTGTTGTAACTAACTTCTATCACTTCCTGTTTAGTAGTGCACTCTAGTAAATTAGTTTTTAATTATTCGTATATTTCCTATCATTATTGCTTCCGCACTGTGTACAATGCTACGTCACTCTCACGTGACAGCTAGCATGCCTTGATCTCGATCGGGGTGTGTCAACTATATTTTACTTATGCTCTAACATCACGTGTGAAATGGGTTCATTCCCGCTCACTAACACACACTTCCATTTAGGCACTTTTAGGTTTAAATTTACTCACAATTTCCACATCACTACACTTTATGGCTTTGTCACCTTCCTGGTGTCAACCAGCACAACTCGATTCGAAGTCCAGGTGAACATTCTGGGTCAGGGTGTGTCATGATGGAATATAAACGGAATGAATAAATTGATGTGCGGTGATCACTTTAAAGAAGACATTGGTTGATTTCGAAATTAAAAGATCAAAATAAAGACTTTGGACAATTTCAAAGACCATTAGTTAAAAAAATATTTTTTTTTTAAAAAATAATTTTTTCAAAATTATGGACTAGCCCTAATTAAGGATTAACTCATCACACATATGTCTATTTGTCATTCATGTGAAGTAAAAGATACATACCTATTTTAAAACTCAACATAAGCCATCAAATTACACTTACCATTGGTGAATCACAAATTGATTAAATTTAGGGAGTTGTTCTGCCCCTCCCAAAAAATCATTTTGCAGTTCTTTAAAATGAGTGCGGTTTGACTATTTTGGTGTGTCCATAACAACATTTTAAGACTGAAAGCGTTTTTAAAACTTAGAACTTAGAAGTGTTTTTAAAATGACTGAAAGCGTTTTTGATGAAAATGTTTTTAAAACCAATCCTTAATAAAAATTTAAGTGGATACTGAAAAAGTACTTGAATTGCTTCTTGCAAAAGGCATATAGCTGGTGCTTCTTCCAAAAAACACTCAAAGATATTTTAGAACTCAAAATCAATTTCACCAAAAGCGCTTTCAGTCATTTTAAAAGTATTTCAAACGAGTTCTAAATTTAAGTAAGTTTGGATACATTTAATATAAGTTTAGATGACGGATCTTAGCCTAAACTGAACTCGAGAGAAATATACTCTTGATCATCTTGCCAAAACCAAAATGGAGGGAGAGGAGAATAGAATGTTTTTTTTTTTTATTATTCTTTACTTATTTTATTTTCAATTATTGACAGATATAAATGTCATAAATCGTGCGGGGCCAGGGGGAGAAAGAGTTGAGAATTGGATTAAATGACTCTCCCAATCACACCCTAGGTACTCATTGAATCTTTATAAATTTGTAAATGCATGAAATAAAAAAAAAAAATTTCAATACTCACGTGCATAGTTAGTAAATTTGAGTATAATACACGTGTTATACACTTACATAAGTATTTCAAAAATATACTTCCATTTATAGACACGTCCTAATAATGATTTGTTAAGTTGCACGTTTTTCAAAATGTCAACATATAATACACGTACTTGTGTACCTTTCACGTTTAATACACTTTACTTAGAATCCACTGAAACTTTTTATTGAAGCAAGAATACTTTATTTGAGATTATAATTGCAGTGTGAAAAACAAATAAACGTGAGCATTTAGTATTACGATTTAGTGGTATTTTTCTTTATTTATAAGTGAGATTTCTAAGTTCGAATCTCATTAAATGCGAATTTAAACAACATTATTACTAGTTCATTATAAGACGTAACCCATTCCACCACCACTTGCTGTAGATAATATTATTTGTTTAAAAAAATAAAAATTAACGTTAAAACAGTTCATGAGAATCCATGGTTTCTTTAAAGTTCAGCTTCCAATACTCGTCCCCTTCAACTGACCTGACCCGTCACTGCAAAAGAAAAAATCCTTGTCGACATTGGCGTCTTGAACAAGCGGCCACAGTACAGCATCTACCCTCGCCACTGCCGTGCCAGGCTTGTGATGTACTAGGGAAATCGCAGCAGTGAATAAGATATCCAACCCGAGTCTGACTCAGATCGGGCAGAAGCTGGGGATCATGCTGCTGTGCAGTTCGATCTTGTCAAGTCCATCGGTAAAGCCTGATCCATTGAGAGTCTTCGTGTCATGTCGTTTCCCTCTTCCTCTGCTCGCCCTTTCTTCTTCAGCTGTCTTGGCATTTTTGTTTATTTATTTTGTTTTTAAGAAAAAAGATGTAGTCAAGTCAGAATTTAAGAAAATTTTAATAGATTTTAATAAATAATAGAGTTCATAGGATTATATAGACTTCATAAAAATTTGACAAGATTTATATAACAAATTTCTATGAAATTTGGATAAATTTTGCAGCACCGTCAAATAAATAAAATAATAATAAATGTATCTAGATTATAAATTTAATCAAATAAAATTGCATTTGGTTCATGCTCTGCAGCTGCATCAGTTGAGCAAAAAATAAAAATAAAGATTATCTCGTAAACCCAACTCCTTAAAGATCCCCAACTGCACTCCTTTTCAATCCTACTTCGAGCTTGTTTGATATTGTTGTGCTTTAAAAAAAAGTTGCTGTGAGAATAAACGGCTATACTATGAGAATAAGCGGCTGTGAAATAAATCAGCAGAGTGTTTGGTAAACTTTTTTGTAAAAGTGCTTTTAGGGTGAGTCTTTTCATTAAAGGAGCACTGTAGTTCCGTGTGCTTTAAAAAAAAAACCAGTTTTCCAAAGTTGCAAATAGCAGCTTCAGTTTTTTCCTTTGATTTCAGCTTATTCTCACAGCAGCTTCCAAAATAAGCCTCTTTTTTTTTCAGTTTACCAAACACCTAAAACCCTCACAGTTTTTTTTCATATGTGCTTTTTTTTTAAGCACCTCACTTCCAAACCACCCATTCCTCCCGCACTTTATTCTTATCCGTTTCCAATCCCAGCTAACCTCTCATCTCTAATCTCTTTTTTAGTCAATTCCTCTAATCTCCTTTTTTGTTATACTACTCTAATCTATTTGTTTTCTGACTCTATCTCTCCCTCCTCTTCCATCACAACCCAATTCCCAATTCTCCTTCTTCACACATGAACTCATGCCACAGAAATACCAGTAAGCAGCAGAGGGCCCCGGTGATGAAAAAAACTCAGTAAAATCTGAGAAAAGGACAAAGAACAATAGTTGATTGGTGCGTCGAAAAAAAAATTGAAGATGTGAAAACTGGGACCCAGCAACACTACTATAAATGTGAAATGATGCAACTCAACATCATTTTATATGTAAACTAGAGTGTCAATAACAACACTTTTAAGAATTTATTTGGAAATACTTTTAAAATGAATAAAAAACATTTTTGGTGAGTGAAACCACTCTTTAGTAAAAATCTAAGCGAATATTGGAAAAGTACTTGAAGTGTTTCATGCAAAAAGCATATATCTGATGTTTTTTGGAATTCAAAATCAATTTCACCAAAAATGCGTTCAGTCATTTTTTTTTATAAGAGACGATATATAATGCTTTCAGTCATTTTAAAAGCATATCAAACAAGCCTTAATTTTATGCAAGTTTGGATACATTTAATCAGGGTCATCTCTAAGATTTCGGGAGTCCTATGCGACATTTATAAAAGGGCCCCTTTTAAGATAGTTTTTTTTTTTAAAAGTAGGACAATATATTGGTACTAGAAAATAATAACTTAAATCAAAACAACATTTAGGATTCACTTATTGTAAGTAAGTTTACAAGTGTCATTAAATAAGCGAAAATAGTTACAAATATAATCTTTACTAAATAATAAAAAACAGTTCAATCTTAGGCAATCAAATAAAGAAAAAAAAATTAAAAAACTCTAACTTTAAAGTTTCACTTGAATATATAGCATTATTATATAATAAAATTGAAAAGAAAATCATTTTTTGAGGCGTTGTTATTATTGGCGGCACTCCTAATATCTCATTGTGCACTCCAAATTTTTATATTTAAAGAGAAAAAATTTTAATAAAAGTGCACGATAAGATTTTAAAGTGTTAATAAAAGTTTTTTTTTAATATATAACATTATTACATATAAATATAAGATACCAAAATTTTTTTGGGGCTTTTTAAATTTGAGGGTCCTGTGCCATTGCACATTTCGCTTCGCCTCCTCTTCATTTAATGTAAGTTTAGGTGATGGATCATAGCCTAAACTGAACTCAAAAGAAATATACTCTTGATCATCTTGCCAAAACCAAAATAAAGGGAGAAGAGAATAAATTTTTTGTTTTGTTTTACTCTTGAATTATTTTATTTTCAATAATTGACGGATATCAATCTCCTAAATCACGTTGAGGAAAGAAAGAGTTAAGAATTTGATTAAATAATTAGCTCTCCCAATCACACTCTAGGCACTAATTGATTGCATATGAATTAGTAAATGCATGAATAAAAAATTGAAATAATTTCAATAGTCGCGTGCGTAGTTAGTAAATACACGTGTTATACATGAACCCATGCTGCAGAAGCAACAACAATCAGCAGAGGGCTCCGGTGATTAGAAAAAAGAAAACTCCAAAGAAATCTCAAAAGGGTAAGTGGAAAAAAAAAATGACAAAGAACAAGAGGTGATTGCTGCGTGATAAAAAATTGAAGATGTGAAAAATTGTGACCCAACAACACTACTACATATGAGAAATGATGCAACTAACATCATTTTTATCTATAAATGATGCGACCCATCAACGAAAATCGAAGAAAAAAATTGTAAAGATGAAGAAAAAAGATAAAGCAAACAAAGTGGCTTGTAGACGGTGAGAGGAAAAGAGAGTTAGAACCAGTTTGGTACTGTTTAAATTTTTTTAAAAGCACGGGTGAAAAAAGCTGGCCTAAAAATTATGTTTGGTAACAGAGCGAAAGGGCGCTTATTTCCAAAGTTATGGTCATAAAAAGCTGAAATCTTGAAGCAATTATTTGCTGCTTTGAAAAATCGGATTTTTTTTTATTGAAAACACGGGTGAACAGGGTGTTTAATGAAAGTTTTTAAATGCCGATCCTACCCTCTTTTTGTCTCTCCATCACACTGAGATACATCACACCGACAAAAAAAATTCATCTTCCTTGCTGAGGTCGCGTCGTCCTCTTCCTTGCTCTGGTTGGCAACTCCAGTTTTAGCAATTATTCAGAACCAACTAAATCTATCAAATTCTGCACCCATCAATTAAAATTTAAAGACGAACACTCACAGAGGAAGTAAATAATTAAAATATTGTAAGGCAACAAATCATCTTGAACTATTCTCACAACTTTGATAGAGAATGGCAGAAAGAATACGAACCTGAAATTTCATTCCCTTTGCTTAGATGGTAGGAGAGAAAGATTCGAGAGTCCAACCCCTTTTCGAACCCCGACCTACCCTCTTCATCTAATTTCCTCCCTCACAATGAACTCCCCTATCCCACCCAACCCCCTTTCCCCCGATGCAACCATACCCAAAACCCAACCCCCTTCCCCCGATGCAACCATACCCAAAACCCAACCCCCTTCCCTCGATGCAACCTACCCAAAACCCAATATTAATATTCTGGGTGAAACAATTAATGGGTATTGGAAATGCTAGCTTTTCTGGGAGGTAAAGGTGGGGATGATGTCGATATTGAGAATGATGCCTTTTTTTTTTTTTGGGCAAATGAAAACGGAGAAGATGAAATTGAAGAACACGAAGACGATGGAGAAAACGAAGAAGAAGAAGAAGAAGAAAAAGTCCGGAGAATATGAGGGAGAGCACACTTCTAGAAAGACAATTATAAATAATTATTTTATTATATTATTTACTGAAAATATGATTTTAGCCTTTCCAACTCAATTTTCTTCATATAAAACCATACATAACTTTTTTACCCAAAGAAAATCCAATGACTAGGATCCACATAAGCAAATTCATTAATTTCATATTACTTCACACATTTTACATTTTTCACATGCCTAAAATACCCCTATTACATATTTGATGTAGACAATTAATTGTAAGGAGAGAGTAAATGATTTTGCAACAAGAAAAAAAAAGACATTAATATTAAAAATTTATTGCATATTAGAAAGGCTTTGAATTTTCATAAAATTATTCGATTCAGTTTTTTTCACCCTACTCTTGAATACTTTTGAATTTATCCTTTTTTTATTAATATATTAGAACATTGTATTTCATTATCTACATGCACATTAATTTACCTACAACAATTATACCATGGGTGAAATATAATATATATATATATATATATATATATATATATATATATATATTTTAAACTGATGCAAAATAATGTTTATACCAACAACAAAACATACCTAACAAATGTACTAATACATGGAAAATAAGTTACCTATATTAAGAAGAAATGTAGTTCGATGCATAATATTAAAAATAAAATGTTACACCCATGTTTATATAACAATAAAACGTGCCTAACATATCTAACAATACATGGAAAATAATTTACCTACAAGTTAGATAAATGTTATTTGGTCGGGTGTATATAAATTTTTTTAATAATTGGAAAAATTAAATATAACTAGGTGTAGTGTAATTTTTTTTATATAATTAGAACAAATTAATTTACCTACCTACTATTTGAAATGTTCATTTCTAATGATGCAAAATGTTCATTACCTAACTACAAATTAATTTCCAATAATTTACCTACAACAATTATACCATGGGTGTAATGTAATATCTTTCTTTACAATGATACAAAATATTGTATGTATACCAACAACAAAACGTGCCTAACATAAGTACTTGTACATGGAAAATAATTTACCTATAACAAAAGAAATGCAGTTTGATGTATAAAATCAACAATAAATTTACCTACAAGTAGGCCTGGCAATTCCTGACACGACCCGATAACCCGACACGACACGACACGAAATTAACAGGTGTTCGGGTCGACACGATAACGAAACGGGTCGTTATCGGGTAACCCGATAAGCATCTGTTAAGATAACGGGTTGGTTCGGGTATACATGTGTGTAACACGATACACGATAAGCAGAATATTAATTTAATAATTTTATAACCCTAAAAAAATACTATAATAATTATATTATATATATATATATTAAATTAACTATAATAATTATAATAACTACATATACTATAATAATTATACCCCCAAAATATTAACTATAATAGTTATATATGTATATATATATTAAATTTTAAATTAAATTTTATACCCCTAAAAACTATAATAATTACATACAAAATAAATAGATTTAAATCAACTTAATAAATAAATAAATATATATACACACACACACACACCATTGAACTTCATGAGATACGAATTAAACGAAACTAATTTCAACGATCAAACCGTCAAACTTGTTTGTATATGCTTTGAGATCGCATCAGCAAAAAATTACAAAAAACAAACATTCACAGATCAAGTAACGAGACAAAACTTTTCGACGGTTATAAACGAAAAATCACGATTTAACGGTTATTTTAACTCCGATTTTGATGATTTTTTACAGCTGCACTCCTTGACCCTATATGAATACAATGAATGAATTCGATCTTCAATTTAAAATATTTACACTAGGGGATACCACAAAATCTTATGTTATACTTGATGAAAGTATGAATAAACTCTTAAGTGTTAGTGAATCTATTGTTTTGATGGGATACGCATTCTACGAAACTAATTTCAACGATCCAACCGTCAAACATGTTTGTAGGCTACAAGTTAGAGGAATGTTATTTGATTCAAAATATATAATATAGGTGTAGTATTTTTTTTTTAAATAATTGGAACAAACTAATTTACCTACCAATTAATATGGGTAAAATTGCTACAAAATAAATCACGAAAAAAAAAAAACTACTTTTCTAGTTTGACGTGGATACGGTTAATGCAAACACTTTTTACATTTTATTTCACTTTTTATACTACTTTTAATTTTGCATAAATTTAGGAATTTGGAAAAGGGACCATAAAGTATGAGTGGCATGAGTGTAAATAAATTGTATTAATAGGTCAATAGTGTTCCCATATGTTTGCAAATTTTAAATTTGGGCTTAAACTAGATCTTTAAAAATAGATGGGTTTTTATCTAGAAATAATGAGTTGTAAGGGCCAAAATCTAAAGCATCATATTATTTATACCATCATATCCTTTTCAACCATTTGACATAGTCACAGCAGTTTTATATAAGAATTTACCAAATACTCATACATTGCTTTTTTTTTATCAAAAGCACTTTTATAAAAAAAAAAAAAATACCAAACACTAACTGCTTTAATTTACAGCATGGCAGAAACAGTTTTTTTTTTAAAGTATAGCAATACCAAACTAGCCCTTAGACATTCAAAGAGGTCCATGGATTTGAAATCCTAAGGTGTGAGGTAGGATTTTATTTGGTTTTGGTTATATATATTTCTTGCTCTCAAATCCCACAAAATACACAACTCAATAAAATCTTACAAAATCTCTAGTTTTTTAATACACTTAGATTTGGATGGACTTTGAAAATGACTATTAAAATCTCGATTGACTATACCTAGATTTTCATAGATTAAAAATCCTTTAACATTTTTTAGTTGACTATACTAGAATTTTAAAGTTTTTTAAAATCTTCTCAAGTCCGAATTTGATTACACCTACTTAAATAGTTTAAAAGAATTAATTACTTTGTATAATTCATGTGGCATCACTTTATTTCGTTTAAAAGTAGATAATTAGCTTGAAATACTGCTATCAAAAGATTCCTAATGTAGGTAATCAAATTACCACCAATTATTCATCTTGATTACTTAATATTAAAACATTGTATAAACACATCATACATTTATTTTAGTATTCAAATTATCACATGAAACATACTCATATATGCACCATCACAGTCGTATTTCATGTAATCATGGCGTTGTTTGGATCAAAACTTGAACTTTGGGCTCAGGAGAGGGGGCTGGCCCAAAGGGATGCCTAAAGGAAGAATCGGCCTAAGCCCACCCAAAGCCCAGAAAACAGAAAAGGGCTTTTCTGACTTGGTGCAGCTCATGAAGACCACTTGCTCACCTACCCAAAGGCCAAGTGGTATAGACTGACCATCTATACAGCCCATAAAGTACTTTATAATGGCAGAACAAGTAAAATAGCTGATGAGTCACTACCTCTCAAGTTGCATTCGGGCAAGGCTGCTGCTACAAGAGGCCAAGTTGAGTTGTCTATAAAAGAAGAAAGAGAAATCAGGATTAAGAACACTCAAACAAACAAACAAATGCAAGCACAAACTCTGCTCAAAGCCAGATTTGCCTTCAAAACGAAGCTGTAGTCAGCCCAAGCCTTCATCCCTCTCGGGACAAGCCTTCACTCAAACCCTTGTAATAGCTCTGCTACCCTGTTCAACCTTGCTGTAGTATCGATTTCTCTTTGTAAACTCCTCTCCTTACCTCTCCCTAAAAGCTCTCAGACCCTTGATAAACCACAAAGATAGGAACCTGCAAGACGACCAGGCTTGCCCGACAAGGTTAAACCTTGCCCGACCTTCTTTGTTTTTATCTTTTCATTCATTAGCCTAGCAATATGTTGTATACTTCCAGTTGTATTCAAGTTATTTCTAATAAGATGACTATTAAAAGAGTCTCTTAGTACTTGGATCCGATTTGAATATATCTTCATTGTTCAAACCAGATCTAAGTTCTGCCCTCGGGCATGTAAATTTGATCAGTTGAAAGTCCTTGGCCTCAAGGCATAAAAAAGAACCTTATGTGGACTTAACCCATCCACGATAATCCTTGATAAACAAGAAGTCCGAAGTTACTTGGGGCGCAAGTAATCGACCTACCCCTTAGTTTTATTTCTATTATATTATGATTATCATAGAACGCTTAAGCATGGAATGGATTCTGATAGGAAGCCTCAAAGCCTACACCTAAGGCCCCACAAAGGCATCTATTTGGATTCATTCCATTCCGCAGTCTAGAACGTTTGAGTATAAGAACGAATTCTTATGGGAAGCCTCAAGGCCTATACCTAAGGCCACACAAAGGCACCTATTTGGGTTCGTTCTATCTCTCAGATTCGGGTAATCAGAAGTATAATAGTTGTAAGGCTCCTGCAATCAATGGAACAAATATTATATGTTCGAGCACTGGTTTAGTTATTGATGGGAAGCCTCAAGGCCTACACCTAAGGCCCCACAAAGGCACCTGTTATAACTAACACGGTTTCTCGGGCATATATATATATATATATATATATATATATATATATATATATATATATATATATATATACAACTAAAACTCGACATCCATTTTACATCTGCCATGCTAAAGATGGCAGTGGCACGCCTGAGTACTTAGAAGTTAATCTTGATTGTGAGCCTCAAGGCCTACACCTAAGGCCCCATAAAGGCACCTCTCAAAGTTAACGCTGTCCTTCTC